CAGGCAGTGAATAGGAAACCTTGAGGCTCCTTGGAAAGGTGGTGGGTATGTGTAGGGGAGAGGTTGGGTGTAGAAACCAGTGGTTATTTTTATAGTATTTCCTTTTCACCTGAATTTGCAGTCAGCCTTCCCTGCCAAAGTCAGCTCTCAGTGAAATATTAAAATATTGTGAAATTTTATCTGTCTCTCCCACTAGTTGGCTTTAGAAAGCTTGTCAGTCCTGGAGCAGAGGAGAGTAGCAATGATGGTAGTAAGTCTTTAGAGTATTTACAGAAGTCCTAAGGGATCTTCAGCCAAGCCAAGTTCAGTCATTTCACAACCCAGTTCTCTAGGTCAGTCCCTAAGCCTGGCTGTGTTTACCATCGCCTGGGGAACAGACACTAAGTTCTCAGACCTGTTGGGTTGGTTTAGAGTCCGACAACTGCACCTTGATTCTGACTGACTCAGCACCTTTCTGCACTTATGCCAAGTTAGTACAGCCAGCCCTTCGGAAGTCCCTGAAGTCTCAGGGGCATCTTGGGCTCTAATTGGGTTGTTGGGTAATCTTCCCCCATAATCTGTGCTTCAGGGAACCATTGGTGTTTTTGATGATTGATGCCCTGGGAGGGTGGGCTCTCCATGTTTTCTTCTCTTGCTGCCCATGCCGCAGTAAGAGCTGGGTCTAGGCTTTTTGTGGAGGGTGACAACGGGTTTCCTTAGATGTTAGGTCCTTGTTAAAAATCCCCTATGTGTCTAGAAGTTCTCTGTCCTGGGCAGCTGGGTACTTACTGCCCTCTGAAATTTTGAGTCTATGGTCTCTGGAAGCTTCCAAGGAGAATGACAGGTGCCTGGGCCCAGACTGGCTCCCCAGGGGGTGAGGTGGCCCAGGTTTAACCCAGGCCCAGTGAGATAAGAATACCCCAGTTCTTCTATAGCCTGTGATTACCTGCTGCATAGTCACTGCAAGTAGAGTGGCAGATTCCTTGCCATGAGACTGGTGAACCCACATGAACAAATTGTGCAGTGGTCTGAGCCAAGATTGGGAGTTGCA